CCTCCCATGCGTCTTGAGAATCGAGAAGAGCTTTCATTTGGATGCTCCAATTCTCGTAGTTCGTCTTCGTCAATCGTGGTAGCAGCATTTGTCCCATCATGTTCGTCATCGGCTCTAATACCAATTTGTTGAAATAAAATTCGCTCTGATACCAATTTGTAGAAAACAACAGTCCGCTCTGATACCAATTTGTAGAAAATAACAGTCTGCTCTTATACCAATTTGTAGAAATAAACGCTTTCTCTAAAACTAACTTGAAAAAATAACACTCACGAGGCTGTGAATGAGATGTCGAGAGGCGAGAGAGGAAGAGACAAAGAAATTCTGAAAAGCCCTCTTCTATTAGACTGTACTTAACTCTTGCTCTGCTTTTCACGGTCGAAAATAAATTATTTAATTTGTAGGTTTTCTAAAATCTAAAATTGACTATCCCATAACCTCTCTCCATTCCAAAAACCTTAATAAAATTAACCAAATTAAAAAGTACTCTTTTTTTTTATTATTATTATTTATTCCCAACACTTCCAAGCGTATGGCTGGAGAGAGAATCGGAAGTATGACTATCCTCTTTGTGGAGGCTTCCTCCGCCCTAAATCCCCACAGCCCAGCCCCACAAAAAAAAAAAATAATAATAATAATAAAATAAAAAATAAATTTAAGCCACCCACCGTGCCTATCTCTTGCTTTCTCTGTGCATGCAACTGGAGGACCGCCGCTACCGCTAAGTCGTCAACGTCCTAGCAACCACCCATTGACCGCCATATGCACCTTACTCATTATCGTCGTTGTGGCCAAAAATAGTGAACGGTTAGTTTCGTGAGGCTCTTTGCTTTTAGTCCAATCTCGATTCTAATTCTAGATTCGACTTACCACTAGTACATTCAACCCAACAACCTCGACCAATCTAACTCAAACTATAAGGGTTGGGTTGGGTTTGGTTCATTTTTCTAAATTCGAATTAATTCGTTTCAGTTTCGGGTTCATAGGACAAATCCTGTGCCAAATTGGTAATTTTGCCTAACTCTCCAAACCATCCTTTAATTTAATTTAAGAATATAATTTATGATAGGTGTATTAATTATGATTTGATTTATACCTTTGTTGGCGTTATTTTGTTTCAAATGTATATAGTATTCCATGTTCATAGACTATACATATATTTGAAACATGTATTGACATTATTTTGTTTCAAATGTCTATAGTATTCAATGTTCATAGATTATACATATATATAAATAATTTATTTTAAAGCATATTGTTTCTATATTATGAATTCTAAAATGAATTTTTTGAAATTGGGATTTTCTATATTTGTATTGGTTGGAAAGCCACCGTTGAAATTTTTTAGAATTTTTTTTATTTTTCTTCTATCATTTTTATTAGTGAACTTGATAAAAAATAAATAAATTTAAATATCTGAGTTTTTCAAATGTAGATTCTGGATCAACATGTAACACGTGTGACAGAATTCTTAATTATTTTAAGAATTCTTTACCACGTAAGATAATGACACAAAATTTGATCCATGCAAAATTAGTATCGATTTAAAGATTTTGTTATAAAATTGAGAAAGTCCTAAATTTTATTGTATTTATTATCTATTTTTTATTGTATTTATTATTATATTATTATAACAAAAATTTATATTATATATATATTTTTCTTTTTCTAATAATGGACGGACTTCAAATTATGTTAATATGTTACCATTTTCACTTGTTCTCATTTGTGAACTTTTAATATCTTTTATCTAAGATTGAACAATTTTAGATGATTTGTGTATATTTGTGAACTTTTAATATCTTTTATTTAAGATTGTATCCCAATAATTATAAAATTTTGAATAAATAATTTTTTTTAACAACAAGACAACCTAACCTAAACCAAATCCGAAAATAGAGGGTTGGGTTGGGTCAAAAAAATTTCTCAACCCAACTCAACCCGGACCACCTACACCCCTACTCACCACTAATAGTTATCTCTAACTTTCAATACTAAGGTGTGAAGTCGAAGAAGTAACCAACACCTATGATGAAAATTAGGAGTTGAGACTAGAGAACGGTGAGTGATAAAAATCAAGTGAACCTAAATGTATTGATGTAGGTTCGATCTAAGTAAGAGTTGGTCTGATATTTCTAGTAGCAATTGAGGGAAACAAGGGACTTTCTATTGAAACTAAATTGTTTTGTTTTCTAAAATACCGTTAAATGTGTATGCTATTGTATGAATTGCTATATGGATGTTGTTGTTTATTATCATGCCGATTGATCATGAAAATAATTGTTTTGGGGTCGGATTTGTATATGTTATGATTTTTTAATGAAATAAATGTGCATATCGGGTAACCAACCACTATGAGTCACATGGGTGATTGCTGAAATTTATAAATGTGGTAAGGATCATACGTTGTGTGTATCGGGTAACCAACCACCGTTGGTCACTAAGGAGTAATTGCTGAAAACTATTTTTGGTGGGTAGCTTACGAACTGTATTACAAGTAATCAACCACCGAGGTCCCTTGATTTTGACTAATGAACTATATGATATGCACATCTGACCCCAACAAGGGAGAACCTTAGTGAGTATTTTCATACTCACCATGTTTTAAATGACTTTCAGGTAAGGACAAGGCTACTCACCCTGATTTAAAATATTTCTTTTATTCGCCAATGTTATAGCATGGGAGTGACGAGGGTGGAAAGGAAGCCTGTTTTAAAATGAAATAGGGTTACACACTGTGTGTATTGGGTAACCAACCACTGTTGGTCACTAAGAAGTGATTATTGAAAACTATTTTAGGTGAGTAGATTACGCGTTGTGTGTTACAAGTAATCAACCACCGAGATCTCTTGATTTTGATTGATCAACTATATGATAGTTTGCATGTCTGACCCTAATAAAGAAGAATCTTACGGAATATTTTCATACTCACTCTGTTTTAAATGATTTGTAGTAAGGCTAAGACTTTTGCCAGGGAGTGACAAGCATGGTGGAAAAGAAAGGATGGTAACGGGACAACTTAGAGTTTTATGTTTTAATTTATTTTTATGACGCTTTTACATTAAACTTATTTTATTATTTTAAGTTTTGTTCGAACAGATAATTATGAAATTTTGGAATGATTTTAAGTTTGGTTCTAAGAATGATTTTAAATTTTGTTCAAACATCTCTCATTTATACCAACTTGGAATGTTGTTAGTTTTAAGTTGAGTTGGAACAACCTAGTTTATGGAAATTAAGAAATCTTGAAATGTTGTTTTCTTATTTAAAATTTTGTTCAAACATCTGTATATTTGAACATCCTAATATATGGGAATTAGGAAATTTTGAAATGGTATTGTTTTCTTATTTTAAGTTTTGTTCAAACACTTGCATGGGAACTATTAGTAAATTTTGGAATGCTTTCAGTTTCTTTAATCACCTTATTGTAATAGTTAAATGGTATGTTTTTAAATTATTTAGTAAGGGTAATAGTTAAATTGCAGGTTTTAAATTATTTAGAAAGTGGTACCGAAGATGACTTTTCTAATAAATTATATTTAGCATGTTTGTATTTATTTTAAATTAGAAATTTTTTATTATTAAGTGACGATTTCGATCGATGCGTGTGCAAAAAGTCGGGTCGTTACAACACCTGTTAAACTTTGATATCTTTAGCTGTCGATGATAATTTTTTGTTACAACACATTGTTAAACTCTGATATCTTCAGCTGCATTGATGAGAAGTTTATGTCAAGCGATGCGTTTTTTTTATTTTATTTTATTTTATTTTNAAGGACGGTGGTGGTGGTGGTAACGAGGGCGGCGGTGGCGGTTTCGACATGTCGAATCAGCGAGTGTTCACGTTGGCGTCAGGACCCAGCAGGAGAGGAGATGGGCACAAGTGAAGATGGGAATTGTGGGATTTGGTTTGATCTGTAAGAAAGAGTACGCTTTTCAGAGATTGTACAAAAATTCTTTTCACAGATTATAAGTTACTCTCATCATATTGTGTTACTTGGATTGTTCTGTTATTTCTTGTTCCAATGCTTCATAAAATGAGTTGAGTAGAATCTTAATATATATCCCTAAAGTTTTAATTTTTTGTGTAATAAATTAATGAATTGTCAATTTTTTTTAAAAAAAAATTAAATTTAAATTGAAAGTAAGAAAATTAAATTATAGATTTGAAACTTCAATTAATTTTAAAAATATTGAATATGATAAAACACTTATTATTGTTGAATCCATTAAACATTTTTTTTAATATGATATAAAAATAGAACATGTTTGTTTTAAAAAAAAAAAAAAAAAAAAAAAAACCTATTGTTTATGAACATTCATCGTCGATTTTAAACTATTGTTTTACCGATAATTGTTGGTTGAGCTCGAAAATAATAATAAAGCATATGTTACGCCCTGACGCCCTTGAAATCATCCTCCAAGCGATGCTTCCTACAGCGCCCAAGTTTTTTTTTAAAAAAAAAAAATCAAGGTCACAATAGGGGTAAACTAGTTATTTTGCCCTATTATTACTTTGAGGGGTATGATTTGACAGGGTCATAATCTGAAAAGAGAAAGAAGAGGGGAGAGAAAGAGGAAAAAGAAGAGGGAAAAAAGATCAGGATTTTTGAGGTAGGAGGAGGAGATCGGTTCGACGCTGGATATCCGAGTCCCCAATCTAAACCATCAACAGTCCGAGGCAAGGTGCTCTCACGAATCGCACCTTCCTATTTCGTCAAAACGTCCAAGAACTTCAGGTTAGTCCACAAATGTCTAGATCGAGAAGTTATCAAGGTTTTCGTGTGTTAGCGACGTTTTGTGTTGATCCTTGGATTCTTACCTTCAACAGCATTATCTGGTTAAGTTCCAGAGTGAAAGCGGCCAAGATTGGTGTTCGAATCGGAGTTTCAAGAAAACGTGATTTTCGGTAAGAACTCGTGTTTTTCCCGAATTCGAACTCAAATGTTAAGATTTGTGATTATTAGAAAATTGTTTCGAAGGAGTATAGGAGATCTACAAGGTTCGTGAAGAAAATTTCTTGAATCGAATTACAGATTGGAAGAAAAAAAAATTGGAAGAAAATAGATCGAAACGTAAAAGAGGCTAACATTGGAAAAATTGAAAACACGCAAGAGAGAGGGAGGAGATGCCGCCACGCGTCGGCCAGCGTACGGACGCAGTGGAAACGGTGATCGACACGGTGAGGTGCATCCTCACCCGGCAGCGGACACGCGTCAGGCACGAGGATTCGAGCTGGCCCGACTCGGCACTGCACGAGAATCGCTCCGTCCGTAAACTGCCCCGACCCGATGCCTCTGACCCACGATTGCTCGGGAAGCTACGCGTGGGCACGCACATGTAGGATCTGCGCGTAGAAACCTCCAGGGCGCGTGTAGGCACGTGAGTCACTGTTTTTCTTTCCGTTCGGTCTCTGTTTGCTTGTTTTTCGACCCGATTTTGATACTGACCCTATTATTATGTTAATTAGGACTTGTCAAGGAAATTCCAGAATTTTTGGAATCCTTTCCATCAAGAAAACTCACTCGGGAAGGCACGCGTCAACCAAGTAAGTAACCATTTGGATTCCCATGAACAGTACTTGTAGGAACCGCTAGGAACGAGCATGCATGCTACCACCCATAAACTTAGCTAGCTAGAACTAGCATATTTGTATGAAAACTGCGAAAATGAAATGATTAAGGAAAGCTAGATATGAAATGTTTATTAAATCTGTTTTGATTGAGATTCTGAAAAAGTATGATGCATGAGGAGGATGGGAAACTTGTGAAATCTACGCTCCGGGTGAAGATGGACGTTATCTTCCCGTTGAGCATGTTTGTTAATATTGCATGAACTGTTGCGTGTGAACTCTTATGCATGATGATTGCTTGTGTTATCTTTCTTGTTGAATAGGAAGGAATTATGAGCGTGGATTAGGGTGCTTGTGATTAAGTAGGCTAGACGAGATCCTAGAATGGGAAACCTCTAGAACACCGTGCATATGGACCCGCGAAATGATTACTGGTAGGTCCAGAGCCCAGAATTCCAAACCCGATAGGTTTGTGAGACCAGACACGAGAATCCTAGAGATGCATGAATCCAAGTCTAAGCCACCAAGTTTTACCCTAAAAAGAATAGTAGGTCACCACAGTAACGGTAAGTAGCCCACTAGAGTTGAGAAGTGTGGATAGTATCATCAGAACCTCCACTTCTCTCTCTGCTCCGATACTGTACCGTCGAGACAGAGCTCCGGTACGAAGATCGTTGAGCTTGGCAGATCCAGATAGGGAAGTGTGATAGGTGGCCAGACCTAGTGGTGATAGCTAAGAGGTCTTCTGAACACGACTCCTGGGCCGTAGAAACCCGTCCCTGAGTAGGGGACGTGGAGCCACATAGGACGACTCAGTAGCTAACCGGCACACAGGGGGTCACACCCCGAATTTAGTGGATGTATGGTCCCGTGTGAGGGTTGTCAGCTAACCTTCACGGATGATGTTCAGAGAGAGACATGTATTCAGATCCAGCTATACGATCCCCTTAGATTTACTTATGACGTCGCGCCTCACCTCAGGACACTAATCATTTCACTATATAAGATGGGCAAGCCTCCTAAGATACAGAAAAGAGAGTTGTAGCTTAGATCACTCTCCTTAGAAACCCGAGAAAGACCGTGGATACCTACCAAGATAAGGATGCGAAAAGAGCTCACAAGTAGGCTGCTTACTGAGTATTTTTATACTCATTTCTTTCTACTCTTTTGGTTTTTTCAGGTGAGTGATGTCATGGTTCGAGCGGGAATGCGTGCTGAATCTTAATGCCACAGAGGAGTGTCCCGGGGCGTCTAGGAGTCTATGCATATTTTTGTTTAGATCTGTCATGCATTGTTTTGTAAGCTATTTACATACTTTTCATAGAACTCATAAACTACTTGAACACCTTGTTTTGGATTTCAAACTTTCTACACAATTGCTAAAGTGTTTTTTTGTAATTTCGTCTTGTCTATTTGCTTTTACATGATTTCGTTGCATAGTCTGTTGGTCCAGCTTTTGATTTCGAGATTCAAATTTTGGGCTGTGATACTTCCTCTTATAAAACCCTAAAGCGTATGTTACACCCTATTGCCATTAAAACTTTGATATCTTCAACACTGGTAGATGAGAAGTTTATGTTAATTTATGCTTCGTTTTCCAAGCGATGCCTCCTCTTAATCTATGAATATTCAGCGAACCATTTAAAACTATTGTTTTATGAACAACATAACAACCTAATTTATGAACATTCAGTGCACGATTTCAAATTATGTTTTATGAACAACAACATTTAAAACTATTGTTTTATGAACAACATAACAACATAATTTATGAACATTCAGTGCACGATTTCAAATTATGTTTTATGAACAACAACACATACAACAACTCTAACACCATCAACAAATTAACTCTACCATCATCAACAAATTTATTTCCATGTCACAATAATATCTTCAAATACGTTAAAGTCATCATTTTAGTTCATGAGAAAAAAATGCTAATATTCAAGATTTCATATGCAAACATACATACATATATACGTACGATACATACGTATATTAATGTTCTCATTTTACTAAGAAAAATACTAATGTTCAAGATCTCATATATACATAGGTAGGTATATACATATGAAAGTTTGTATATCTATTGGACATATAATATAAATTTGTATTTAATTATTATTATTGTTTGTAGTATACTTCAATTAGCATAAAAATGAACATTTAAAGATTAATTAGATACCAATTTCAAAATAAAATAAATAATAAGAATAACAACATCTTCTAGATGGACTGGATGCCGACCCCACAGTGACACGATGTCACCAAGGCCTTGTGACTAATGATGTAATATAAAGAAGAGGCAGAAAGGTCCAAACGAATGAAGTGTTAAGCTAATTGATATATAGCATAGAAATTGGGTACAAAGGCAAAGACGAAAGCATTCACCTGCAAACTAGTGGAGGGTACTGAAGACGGAGACGGAGTTGGCCGTGAGACAAGAAGCCGCTTGGCGTCAATGGAGAAAGCTGGAGGTCCTGAGACATAGCTCTTCCTGCCGCAAATCATTGTACTGAGAGTCGGCAAGTATTGCGGGAGAGAGAATCGGCAAGTATGCTGGTGAGTCCCTCTTCCAAGCGTGGAGGCTTCCTCTTCGGCCCTAAATTACCTGTGAAGACCAGCCATACCCACACACAAAAGAAATATATATTTGCCCCGTAAATCACTTGTGAAGACCAGCCCAGCCCACAAAAATAAATAAATAAATAAAAGGAATAAAATAAAAAATAGAGTTGAGTCCACAGCTCTAGCCACCCATCGTGCTTCTGTCCTGCTTTCTCTGTGCATGCAGTCGGAGGATCGCCGCCACCGCTCAGTTGTCAACGTCCTCTTTTGTCTACATTTTCTTTTTCTTCCTTCCTCCTCTGTGTCACCGCAACCACCCATTGACCGCCATGAGCACGGTAGCTCATCGTCGTCGCCAACGTCGAAAATAGTGAACAATTAGTTTCGTGAGGCTTGATATTTTAGTCCAATCTCGATTCTTGATTCGATTTATCACTGATAATTATCTCTAACTTTCAATAGTAAGGTATGACGTCAAAGCAGCAACCAACGCCTGTGATGGAAATTAGGGGTTGGTATGATATTTCTAGTTGCAATGAGGGAAAACAAGGGACTTTTTATTGAAACTAAATTGTTTTGTTTTCTAAAGTACTTTTACATGTGTATGCAATTATATGAATTCTTATATGGATGTTGTTTATTGTCATGATGATTGATTATGAAAATAATTGTTTTCGGGCGGCATTTGTGCCTGTTATGATTTTTGAATGAAATAAATGTGCATATCGGGTATCCCAACCACTATGTATCACATGGGTGATTGCTAAAATTTATAAATGTGGTAAGGGTTATACGTTGCGTGTATCGGGTAACCAACCACTGTTGTGTTGGATTTATGCCCCAAATCCTCGTAATTGTTTATTTAGTTTTTTACAGTAATTTTTATTATTTTATTTGTAACCATTGTATGAAAATCCAAGGTTATTAATATAATCTTGAATACTATATGGTTGACATATAAAAAGATCGTGTTCAAGTTATAACCTAAAGGGTCTATAGTATATGAATAAGGTTGGATGCATTATCCTGGTAACACTATTGATACGACCCACTTTGTAATGGGTACAAATGATTTGATCCAAATTGTTCATGTGGATACATGTAAGTGGGGGTACCCTCTATACAAAGAGTTTGTATAAGATTGAACCAAGAAATATTTAATCTCTCTATAAATCCGTTAATTGAGAATATTAATATTTCACATGATGATTATATGCGACTTGATCTTAATCCTAAGTGAGTCATGAACTCCTGCTCGTGAGGGCTTGTTTTTTTATTTACATGGGTGAGAATGACTCTTTTCGCCGATTCAATATCATGACCAAATAGGGAGTTGGAAACATAATATCATGAGATGGAATTCACTATTTCTATATAACGAAAGTAGATGAGTTGTTCTCTTAATTACTTGTAACGACTCAAAATTTTCTACTTAATTTAAGGTCACTACTGTATACAAATTATAAACATTGAATGCAGAAATACTCCATTTAAACTTTCATAAAACATAACCTTCAACTTCAAACACTGTCATGTACTTACGTGTTTTGAAAACACTTTTAAAAACAACACAACAAAAGACTAAATAAAATAAATAAACGTTTAAATAAAAAAAAACATCCTATTCTCGCTTAAGTCTAAGAAAATAATACGACTACCCTATGCATGTGTCATGGTCTCGAGTTGTGATGTCGTCGTCAATCGTACGGGAATATCTTGCCTTAACCTAAAATAAAGGAAGCACGTGGCTTGAGTATTTTAAGAAATACTCGATAAGTAAACCCATTATTGAGGGAATGCAAGAACATGTGAATGCAATGACGAGACCTATCATATAGACTATTTTTCTGCACTATTCTAATGGGCAACTAGGATGTGTACCATATACTATACACACAGCCCATACATGCAAGTATGGCCCCTTTTCTTGTCGGGCGAGCCTTCTCTGGTAGATCAACTTTTTTCGGGCACTCATTAGAATTAGTAACCGTCATGACAGCATTATGTAAAACATAACGATACTTCACCTACCTAATGGATGTATGCATTTGTACCCTCGTAAGGGAGTAGGGGTATCCCCCAATGCATGAGGACACGTAATGCATGAGGTCCCAACATTTTTCCATTTTTATTGTCATTTAATACAATCTCGCTAGCGTTCTGTACATATCATATCATCTTTCATTTCATTTCACATACCGTTCATCATTCATATCATATCGTTTCTCATTCTTCAGTTCTCATATCAAACATAATTTTAACGGTGTTATATTTCATGTCATTTATTGTGTTTTCATGTCATTCAAATTATGCTGTATACACACAATTTAGGAGACATAACATAACGTCCCATGTTTTTAACATAACATTTCACCATATACATATCATACCATAACATATTGCATCACAATATATCATATCATAAACAAGTTAATCTATCACATATCTCGTACCAAAACATATTTCATATCATTTTCATATCATATTATATATATATACATCATAATCATATCATATTGTAAACACTTTGTGGTCATATAGTTCCCTAACTTATCATAGCCTTAACGTTCTTATATCTATATCAGTCATGTCGTTACCTGAACGTACCTTAATCAATCATCATAGGAACGTATCCTAACGGTATCGTTCTATCAATCTATCACACACCTATCCCTCTCTACCCATATCCCTTTCTACCCATATCCCTTTCTACCCATAACCTAACTGTATTCTTTTATCAATCTCTCATATCCATAGTATTTCGGTATGTAACTTAACCTTAACGTTTCATGAACGTATCTTACTCCTATCGCTACATTTCGTTTTGTGCATCCTTCTCGTATCCTATCTCAAACATATCATTGAACACATCGTACCGTAATTATTATCATACAATTCACATATTATAACATATACATAACATATTATAAGCATATCGATCCACAAACAATTCACACATATCAATATATATGACACGTGTCGAACCACGAGGCACGTGTCAACATCAAATATAACCATGCCGATAGTAAGACCACTTACCTAGTTAGCTTAAGTTGTTGCCACCAATTTATCCTTAAGAAAGTTCGATTTTGTCTTGTATCCAAGTCAACCTATATGAACTATGCCATCAATTTCAATTTCAATTTTCTAAATTTTACAATGGTCCATGTGTTGGACTTCATGTGAGCATTATAGACTTTATGAGTAGAGTTTTGGAATGTTGTAGGGGTGTACACCTAACCCAAAAACCCAAGATCCCAACCCGACCCAACCCAAAATATAAGGGTTGGGTTGGGTTGTATTGGATTTTGGGTTTGGGTTGGGTCTATTTTTTTTAACCCGATCTGATTTGGGTTGGGTTCGAGTACCAAAAGAAAATGATTGGGTCAACCTGGCCCAACTCGAAAATATTAAAAAAAAGAAATTAAGGCCCAAAGTCAAAGCCCAATCTACAATCTTATCTGGTCTCTAACCAAATCCCAAGCTCAAGCCCAAACCTACACTTCAAAACCCAATAATTACTCCAAAGAAATTTCTCTCTCCCTCCGTGCTCCAGATCCTAGGTAGTAGGCACCCTCCCTCTCTCCATCCTTTTGCTCGAGGGAAATGCCTCCATCTCTGCTCTCTGCGTCCTTGAAGGGAAATGAAGGTTTAAAATCATGTTATTTTAAATTTCTACATAAATACATCTGCTCTCTCCACTACCTCTCTACTCTCAGCCATTTCTACCTCTCTGGGTCATTTTTACCTGTCAGCTCAAGTTTACATAAAAATGTAAATATGCATTTAATTGTAAAAACATGTGTTAATTGTATTAAGCTAGGATG